TTCTAGCTAATTTTTTTTTAATTTCAATAAATTTGTTATTTTATTTTTTCCAAGTACTATGTAATGTTTAGATTTCTCCTCTTTTGTTCAATTTAGTTATTTAAGATAAATAATTGTAGTATATACACTGAAGAATGTATTCTCTATTCAATAAAACAGATACATACACTTGCTCGAATTCAATATTTATAGTATTCGCAGGAATGATTACATTGTTTCAATCATACAATACGTCAAACATTTTAATAAATTCAATAATAATATGTAGAATGTAAAACTGTTTTAAAATATCATTTCGAAGGCCATTATTTGCAACGGACATTTTCAATAAAACACGAACAATGTTTCCTATCATATTAAAAATTATTTTTATCTGTAAATATTCTCTTTCATTATCAATTTTATTGCAAAATTATATAGATTTTTTGTTCGTCTATTTTTTCCTTGTCGATCAGTAAAATCACTGTAAGTTCAGTAAAAAAAGAGTAATATTTATTTATAAATAAAGCCTACGACGCATAATGCTTGTTTTCTTACTGAATTATTTGCGTTTCAGTACACTATTAAATCTATAGTTCAAATTTAATCTAATAAGTCGTCACTGCTCCTATTTAATTATCTCGTTATTTTATATTAAAATGATAATTAAATTTGATACTATATCGTGTCAATTTAATATTATATAGTGTCAAATTGACACTGTATAGTGTCATATATGACTATTGTTTTAGTATAAAATAATGGTGTATTTAGTAGAAGTGGCGTTAGATTTTTAACTCACGTTAGATTAAATTTGTCACTATAGATTTAACAGTGTAATAATTAATAGAATTACATCACACACACACACACACACACACACACACACACACGCACGCACGCACGCACGCACACACGCACGCACGCACGCACGCACGCACGCACGCACGCACGCACGCACGCACGCACGCACGCACGCACACACGCACACGCACACGCACACAAAATGCAGAATTTCTTATAATTTATCAGAACACAAGCAATCCAACAGGAAAACAAGCACCGTAAGCTTAACAGAAAAGATTAAAATCTAATTAAAACACACGCACACATTACTGATTAATTTTAATTATGTAAATTATAAATATTATATACTATATGTATAGATATATTATAAAAATCTAAATATCACAGAAGTATTTCTTAAGAAGTAATTAATTAACAAATTTAGCAATAATTCATTCTAAGATTTTTGTCTTTCTGTCTACTATTAACACAGTTTTATTTTTTTAAGTATTTTTTTAAGTATTTTTGAAATGTGCTATTTCATGCATGTCATATTAGATCGAATTTGTAAAAACTGTTGGATTAAGAATTAGTCACTGCAAATGGATAACAATCTACGCAAATAAGCCTGTGGTCGCTCTGGTATTATATTCGATACGCGATTCCTAGTAAAATCGGATGACTCTGACCTAAATCGATTGTCGTATAATTCTCTTTCATAGTAATTTGCGGAATAGAAATATAGATTTAGTGCTGAATGTGGAGAAAAAACAGAGGCAGACAAGTAAGATACGAGTTTTGTGATACACGATTTTTGTTGATTCAGCGATATTTTCTCATCCGATGAGTAGATATCAAAGTAATTCACACATCCATTGAAAAAGAGATATCAATGCTGACAAATTCTCTTCAATCAAAAGATACAAATCAGCTAGATGACAGCTAGACATCAAAAACAAATTTTTTCCGTGCTTACAAATTTTATCATATTTTACAATGTTACAACTAGACTTGATTATCAATTAAAATTCAATTACTTTTTTTAAAAAAATAAAAAGGACATGTAAAAGTCTATTACAAAATTCCTAACATACGAAATAAATAAGAATTATATTATAATCAGTAGTGACTATCATGGCGCAGAGCGTAGCGTGATTGCTTTTTGTGTTAAAGATCCAGAGTTCAAATCTCTCAAGAATTCAAATTTTATTTGATCGTCCTCTTTCGGAAGGCAATGGCAAATCTCCGAGAGTATCTTTGCCATCACTTAACGTTAAAAATTGTAGATGCCATATAACAATGGATATATGCATGTACACTCGCCAACACGCATAGCAAGTGTGGCGTTTTAATGTCAAATTCCTTCCTTCCAAAGATTATGTAGAATGGAAAAGATTAGAAAAGGTTGAAAAAAGCCAAGCAGTGGATAGAATCAGGCTGATATAGATAGAAAATCAGTAAATTTAATCGTAGACAATATAGTCAGTCATATTACATTAGCCATTAAATTACAATATATTGCAATACATGTTTCGACTTCAAGATTGGCTCTTAGTTCACATGGGGACGACAGTAATATTGAGGTATAAAAGAAAACAGATAAACCGCAATATTAATGTACATAAAGATGATTTAATTTTAAAGCCAAAACATGTAATACAATGTAATATATACAATGTGTATATATATATATATATATATATATATATATATAGATGTGTAA